GACGACTGAAACAGCGGATCAGAACCACTCCCTCCAGTCCCCCTGAAGCCAGAACTAAGACCGTGAAAAACTCAGCTGATCCTCTTAGGACCAGGAACCAAACTGAGACTGATCCGGATCAGGAGAGGAGCCCTGCAGGACTCAGCTGATCCGGTCCAGACTAACAGAACAAAGTTCTTCTTTCTTCTCGGGTTTTATAACTTTGAGGGCGGCGTGCTGACTCAGCGGGTTTCTGTCACCGACTCCGAGGTGCTGAGTCAGCGCTGGGTTCAGCAGAGACCCCCTGAAGTGGACCTGGACCTGGTTTAGTCTGTGATGAGTCCAGAGTCCAGAGATGTTGGACCTCAGTGTTCAGACAGTGACAGAGGTTACTTCAGGTCATCGCCCTCTATCAGCTGTTCTGACCCGGATCAGGGTCTACAGACTGAACCCGGTTTATCAGAGTCTGGGACAAACACCGAGACCCGGTCTGAGGTCAGACTCGGAGAGGTTCCTGTCCTCAAACATCCGCTGACATCTAAACGGTCCTGATTCTGATCCGGTCCTGATTCTGATCCGGTCCGTCTTTGAGATGAACGGATGAATTCACTCTGAGGACGTCATGAGGACTCTGAGAGACTCTGTGTCCTCTGAGACGATGAGACGTTCTCTGACGTCTCTGTGGACAAAATCAGATTTTCTGACTGACCTTCAAACTCTGAGATCGTCTCAAAGACTCGTCTGTTCTCTGTTTACTGACTGATTTTACCGCCTGGATTTTAAAGCGTCTCTAAACTCGTCATCATTACGTTCAGTTTAATCCACTTCATTTATGACCTTTTAAAAATATTCAATCTGTGCTGCAAAATAAAATCGACCAACGAAGAGTGAAAAAAAAACAGGAAGGACTTTTTTAAAATCAGTAAAAATGATTTAATCTGAGAGAAAATCCTCAGATGATAAAAACTGGACTAAATAACACAGTTTAAAGTGATTGTCGACTTTTACTCAAAGATCTAAAACTGTGGGTTTAAAATAATAAAGTAAGAGAGGGTCCGGATCTCTGAGAGGGTCCGGATCTCTGAGAGGGTCTGGATCTCTGAGAGGGTCTCCTCTGGAGACTAAGATGAAGATTAATTCAGTTTTATTTTGATTTAAAAACTCGAGACCGTCCAGAATGACTGTCTTTAAAACAGTCCAGCAGACACTTTACAGAGTTACCATCATCATCATCATCATCTCCTCCTCTTCAGATTTTTCTGTTTGTTTATTAAACTTCATGTTTTTCTCTCTTTACTGCCTGTTTCTAACCTGCTGATTCCTGCCTGTTCTTCACTCTCAGATGTTTGATTTGATTTGATTTCCTTCAGATTAAAACTTGATTTTCTTCTTTGTTTTTCTTCAGAGGACAGGATGTTCAGTCTGAGGGTCTCGAACCTTCTTCTCCTCCTGATCCTCCTCTTACCTGTCTCTGTTCTCAGGAGTCAAACTCTCCTTTCCGCCTGTTTTTCTGCCCGTTTCTCAGCATTAAAGACTCTGTTTGTTCAGCTCTAAAGTTCTGAGTTTTCCTCCGGACTCGTGAATGTTTTCGTTTTTTTTCCGGTCGGAGTTTAAAGAATTAAAGTTTAAAAGATTCTGATTCAAAGTTTAAAAACTGCGCCGGTTCAATAATCCGGTAATAACCGGTTAATAAAGTCTAAATGTTTCTTACCTGCAGATCTGTGGATGTGGGGGGGCTCCGCTCTGATCAGCTGACTTTTTATCCACCGAAGGAAGGGCGGAAGTGACGTGGAGGGAGGTCCTCTCTGTGGTTGGTCGGTCAAAGTCCAATAAATTAACTTTTCATAACCGATTTTTCTCTATAAATAAAAACAGGAAGAGGCAGAGAGAAACAACCACAACAACAACAACAACAAAAAAAACAGTTTAAACAAAAAACAAAACAAAAACCATGACAGTAAAAGTCTGAACAAACTAATCAGCTCCTTAAGAGATCTATAAAAATAATTATTAATAATAAATAATTAAATGAAAACAATTTTTGGTGTTTTTTTTTCTGCTGATGTAGAAAATAAAACTACAGTCAGGTCACGAGTGTTAAAAAATTCGGAGGAAACTGATTTTAAAGGAAAGATGTCGAGAAAACAGCTGATAATTAATTTATACAGTCAGGTGAAATCAAAGGAAAATCGTGTTTATTTCATTTTAAATATTTCCTTTTTAAAATAAATATTTATGTCGTAAAATCTGTTTTTTTTTCTGCTTAGTTTGACACGATCTGACTTTTATTCTGAAAATCTTGGCCGGATGTTCCGTCCTTATTCCGCTCACTGTGACTCCGGGATAGTTTTGATTGGCCCTCCGTTATCTCTCTATTTTGTAACATTAGAGGCGTGTTTAACTTCTGCTGGTCCGGAATCAAAGAAATGTCAAACCAGGAACGTTAGACCCGGTTTCTGTCCACTTTAACTCGTTAGTTCGGCCGTCACTCGGAACCGAACATGTCCCGGGTTCTGATCGTGGGAGCTGGTCTAACAGGCAGCCTGTGCGCATGTCTGCTGAGGAGAGAGCTGCAGAATAAAGTCCAGATTGTAGTTTGGGACAAAGCGAGGGGAGCGGGTGAGTCCGACAGAACCTCATTCAGAAAACTGCTGATTAAATCTTCCTGAGCTCTCACGGTTCCGAGTCTCATCGCAGATCACAATTTCGGGGAGTTTCGGTATCAGGAGAAGTTTCTGCTGAATTCGTCCTGAAGTTTTCTACATTTAAACCAAATAAACAGAAACTTAACAGGTCCACTATAACTGTCCTCAGTCTTCTGAGGACGTAGTTTAGATCAGGTGAGAGTCAGAACTTAATATAGAAATCAGCAGATTTTCGGTGTCTGAGCCTCAGCCTCACAGGAAAACACTCCAGAACATGATTTAGTAGATTTACATTTCCCTCTTTTAATATCGTCTTTAAAATAATCCATAACCTCTTTTTTTTCTTCAGAGAGATGAAGTGAGGAGTCAGCAGTGTTTACACCAAACCTCCTTCAGAAAATGATCAATTTAAAGGGCGACCGCTTACTTCTCTAGTTATACCAACTTTAGTAACGACCGCAGGATAGCAATACACAGCGGTCTGAGGAGCCATAAACAAACCCCAACCAAAACACCACTCTATAGCCACAAATAATGCTCAGAACAGCACCTAACTTCATCAACAGGACATATAGGGTCACAGACATAGTACTAGACACCAAACATCTTTTTAACTTTGACTGATTTCTTCAGCAAAGAGACTAAACACAACTCACCTACTCTCTTCCAGCAGACACTTGTTTGTAGTGAGACCTCAGGCCAGTCCATTACAGACTACAGCGGGGTGACGCAGCTCAAGGAAGAACATTTATGATGATTTCTTCATGGAAATACAATCAGACCGAGACGCTAAGACAGAAGAACTACCGCGTCTGTAAAATGATCAATATGGTGATTATTACTTCAAGGAAATGATAAAGAAATGATCATAAATGTTCTTCCTTGAGCTGAGTCACCCCGCTGTAGTCCATAATGGACCCCAAATTAATTTTACGCCAGAATGTCCCTCTAAGTGAGGAGTCAGCAGAGTGTTTACACCAAACCTCATTCAGAAAATGATGAATTTAAGAATTCTGCTTCAACAGCCACTCAGACTCTGGTTAAAGAACTCGGCTGAAGATCTCTCTCTTCTCTCCCTCTGTGCCTTTGTTCTGTCTCTCTCTCTCTCTCTCTCTCTCTCTCTCTCTCTCTCTCAGGAGGCAGGATGACCACCACTCGCCCCCCTGACTCGTCCTGTAGCTCGGCTGACCTCGGTGCTCAGTACGTCACCGCCACGGCGGCGTACGCTCAGTCTCACCACAGGTACCGCACACACCTGTCTCACCTGTTTACAGAGTCATAACACATTAAAGGAACAGTTCACTAAAATTATTAATAAACTTCTTTAATAACTATGTGTGTGTGTGTGTGTGTGTGTGTGCGTGCGTGTGTGTGTGGGAGCTTCTACTCTGAGCTGCTGTCCTCTGGCGTCCTGCAGCCTCTGGACTCTCTGATTGAAGGACTGAGACACAAAGAAGGAAACAAGGACTACATGACGCCACTGGGCATGGGCAGTTTGGTCAAACACTTCCTGTCGGAGTCAGGTACACGCCCACCTGTGTGAAAACATCAAACGCTCTTTTTGTAACGGTGCGGTGGCGGCGAATCACAGACCCGTCTGTGTTTCAGGGGCTGATGTGTTCTTTGAGCATCATGTGACCGGCCTGTTTCTACGCGGTGCATCATGGGAGGTCCAAAGGAAGGCGGGAGACAGCGAGACGTTTGACGCCGTCGTCCTGACGATGCCCGTCCCTCAGATTCTGCAGCTGCAGGGAGACATGGGACAGAGTAAGACGGACAGACAGACACAGAGACAGAGGGACGTCTTAAACCAACCCTCTGTAGACCTTAGTGGACCCAGCAGACCAGGTTCTGGGTTTCATAGAGGATCTCAGCAGCTCCACAGTTCAGGGTCTCCTTGGTCCTGTTTTGGGGGTCCTGATGGCTCAAATTATTTAAATGGGGGACAAGTCAGGACCACAGATCAGAGATGGACTGATATGAAGAAAATATAAGGTGATAAACTTTTTCCCGTATCACCCAGCGTGACTCTGTGCTGTCGTCGTCTCTACAGAGCAGCTCAGTTTTCCTCTTCTCACCTGTCGGTTGTTCTTCTCCCTTTTTTAACCAGCAGAGGTTTTTCAGTGTCAGCGTTGATCCAGAGTCCTCGCTCCGTAGTAATTCAGCTGTAATCTGATTCGCTGATGTTCGCTGAGAATCGTCTCTTGGGTTCTCGGTTAGTGTCTTTAGTTCTGACCTCTGAAACGATGGAGAACAGAAACAGAAAATCACTGCAGATTAAAAAAAAAAACGAGGAAATAAAATCTGAAACTTTCTCCAGCAGGTAAAAAAACTTCAGATGAAGAGATTTTAAACATTTGATCGACTTTAACAAATGATTTGAGTGAATTTCTCCTCGTTTTAAAGTGGAAACAGGACTGAAGTACACGCTGTTCTCTGTGTGATGACACAGTTTGTCCACAGGGGGGCAGCAGCAGCTGTGAGGTTCAGCCCTGTCCCTGAGTCATTACAATAAATATGATATCATGATGAATATGAAAGAGTGAATGACTCTGAAAACACGAACACACTCTGAAGTTTCTATTCTGATATTTGAGGAGTTTACTCGCCTGTAGAGGGCGCTCTCTGCGTGTTTCTCAGGGCTTTTACTTTGGCGGGGCAACGCAATGACTGCTTCCTCCTCCTGCAGTTTAGACCTGTTCACCACACACACACACACACACACAGGATCAATACACTCCTCAGATGGTAAATCTGTTCCTCACCTCTGATTGGTCGGTGGTTCACACTCATAAAAGCTGCAGAACTCTCCAGATTCTGTGTGTGTGTGTGTGTGTGTGTGTGTGTGGTCAGGCTGCAGACAACGGCCCCCTGCGTATGTGTGTCTCTCAAGATGATGATGATGTCATCTTCAGCTCCTCTGATTGGCTGACAGAGGACAGCGCCCATTTCCTCCATGCCGACATGCAGTAACACACACACACACACAGAGAAATGCACACTCACACTGAGGTTATTATTAGACACCGTGTGTGTGTGTGTGTGTGTGTGTGTGTGTGTGTCTGCAGTAGGAGGCTGCAGCCTGTTCCTCCATCAGGATGTGAATCATGAAAATGTTTCAGAGACGACGTCTGAATTGAAAATATGGTCAATCTCTCGTCCAATCAGATTTGAGGATTATATTTAAACACTTTGAGATATGAAGCCCCGCCCACTTCACATGTGTAACATACATACATGTATGTAAATCTGCACAGTCATACAGAGGGATCAGTTCAACACGGTCCACTCCTCAGGGTTAACCACGAGAAATCAGGTTTTATCGTCTTTACTGGTTAACTCGTGGTAAACCAGTAAACCAGTAAACCAGTAAAGCTTCACTGGTTTACCGGCTGCTTCCCGTCTGTTTCACGGCTGACTCAGCTCTCCTGCAGGTTTACTGCAGCTCCACGTCTCTAAAACTACACCTTCAGCTGCTGCTGTACTACATCTACTACAGTACAATACTGTGTACTACTGTATACTACTGTATAACTGTAGTCAGGTACACTACTGCAAACTGGTGTACCAAAGTTATCTGGTATTCCACTACAGTGTACTAGTTTACTGTTTTATACTGATATACCACTGAGTACTGGTAAACTACTGTACTCTTGTTTACTACAGTGTACTGGAATACTACTGCACACTACTATCCAACAGTATCCTTGTATACTTCTGAAAACTGTTCTCCTGCCCAGTACTAGTGCACAGTAGTAAACTGGAATACTACTGCATACTGGTATATCTATGTGTACTGGTATACTTTTGAGAACAGGAAGAGACACCATCATGTCTCCACCGTGTCTCTGATGTGTCTTTATCGTGTCTCATTGTGTCCCTACCATGTCCCTATCATGTCTCTACCGTGTCTCTAGTGTCTTTCTCGTGTCTTTCTTGTGTCTCTGTCTTTACCGTGTCTTTCTCTCTGTCTCTCTCTAAGTCCTGTCCGTCCAGCAGAGACAGCAGTTGGACGGTGTCGTGTACTCGTCTCGTTTCGCCATGGCGCTCTTCTTCCCTCCGGGCGTCGTCTTCAGTTTCCCGTGGGCCGCTCACTACGTCACCGGAAACCCCGTCATCTGTTATATTTCCGCAGACTCCCGTAAACGTAACGCAGGTGAGAGGCTCCGCCCACCTGTGATCTGCTCTCCTCCTGATTTTTCTCTAAACTGACTGTCGAACTTTGACGTTTGCGCCCGCTCAGATGATCCCGGTCACGGTCCGTCTCTCGTCGTCCACACCACGGTCCCGTTCGGTTTAGAGCACCTGGAGGAAGACAAGGAGGACGTCCAGCCAATCATCTTACAGGAGCTCCAGAAGCTGCTTCCTGATCTTCCTCAGCCCGCCATCATCAAGTGTCAGAAGTGGAGGTACTCTCAGGTGAGCCGTCGCCGTTCAGAGCGCTGAAAAATCCCACGGAGAGTGTGACCCTGAACTCCTCCTCTTTTTGACCCCTCCCATCTCTCTGCAGGTGCTAACCTCGGTGCCGGACTGTCCGGGTCAGATGACCATCCATGATCGCCCGCTGCTAGTCTGCGCGGGCGACGCCTTCAGCCACACCAACTTTGACGGCTGTGTGGAGTCTGCACTGAGCGTGCTCCGTGTGCTGAAGTCGTGGCGGTCTTAAACTCAGACTGTGGAGGACGATGAAGATGGATTCACCCGTTCACAGTGATGAAGGGGTTAAATCCTCATGTACATGTTCACTCGTCATTATTGTGTTTCTTCTGTGAATAAATACGTTTGTCTACATTAATGTATCATCCTTTCAATATTTAAACTAACACTCAAGCTAACTCAAACCAGGCTTAGTTAAACCTTACTTTAGGAGGTCCAAGACCAGCTTCACTTTGGGCTAACTCAAACCAGGCTTGATTAAACCTGCTAAACTTAAACCAGGCTTAATTAAACCAGCTAAACTTAAACCAGGCTTGATTAAACCTACTAAACTTAAACCAGGCTTAGTTAAACCTGCTAAACTTAAACCAGGCTTCATTAAACCTGCTTCACATCAGTTTAATTTCACTCTGGGCTCACTGAAACCTAACTTCTTTAACCTAGTTCACCTAAAGGTTTACTTAAAACAGGTTAACTCAAACTTGACTTCATTGAACCTGATTTAACCAAGAGCTGATTAAACCTGAACTTTTAGGACTCTACCTCCAAGTAATCAAAATTTATCTAAACCCTGGTTTGATAAAATCCAGTTTCCTAAATGTTCCTCAGGTCCACCTAAGAGGTAACTTTGATCTGGATTACTTGAACTGGATTGAGCAGAGATTAACGTAAACCTGGTTCACCTGTCCTAAAGTTTTAGTGAAACTTAAAGAACTTTTTTAAAACCGTATCTCAGACTAACGGTAACGCCGTAGTCTTCGAGGTTATCTAAGATCTTTAACCTTTAGTGATGTCGTTAACCTAAACCTGGCTCAATTAAACCTGACTTACCCAAAGGTGTACTCTGACCAGGTCTACCTGAGGGCCAACAAGCCTTTCCAACCTGAGCTCACATTTTAACTTGAACCTGGATTACCTGAGGAGATTTAAACTTTAATCTAGAAGGGACTGAAACCAGGTTAACCAAAGATTAAACTTTAATACTATGGAGGAACTTTAATTGAGGGTACCTGGGGCTAACTTAAACCCAGGTCACCTTCTAAGACAGATGGATAATTTCAATCTCAGTTTAAAGAATTAATCTGTTAATCTTGGTTTAATTTGGCTCAGACTTGAACCTTGTAGGTTTAATTGAAGGATTACATGAACTAACTGGTTAGTCGAGGATTAATGTTGGATTTTGTCAGATTATTCAGGGATTAAACCTTAAACCTGTGATCTTCATGTGTTCACAATAACATGAAATTAAAGTCCTCACTGGTGTTCATGGGATCATTTCTGAGTAACAGTCCGACCGTCACACCTGGAAGGTGTTCTCTCCGCTGAAACAATGAGATGTTCCACAGGCCTGCTGCTTATATAAAGCCTCCTCAGTGTGTGTGTGTGTGTGTGTGTGTGTGTGTGTGTGGACGGCTGCTGATGAATCAAAGTCAAACAGACGCCGTAAAGAAGAAGAAGAAGAAGAAGAAGAAGAAGAAGAAGAAGCTGGTTTGTGGTTCCTCTGCTGCTTTCTTTGATCTTTTTATAGAAACAGATAAGACAGAATTAGTTATGGTTTGGTGCCCACAAGGCTCACTGTGTGTGTGTGTGTGTGTGTGTGTGTGTGTGTGTGACCCAATTTTTCCTTGCCTTCTCTCCAGTCATTTGGAGCGCGCTCAGTAGTGCCGCTGCATTGCATTGTGCAGGAAGCGATGATAATTTCTGCCAAGTCACTGGTAGATTTGAGACCCGGTTCTGCAGAAACCTGGAGTCCGTGTCCACATGTTGGTTCTGTTAAAGAGTGGTTCTGGTTTTCATTGAGCGGGTCTCCTCTCTCTGCTGCTCAGAGTGTCAGAAATAAAACACAATACATGGATTATTCATCCGCTTGGCTAGACCGAAATACTTCAAACACTGGCGGATGGATTGTGATGAATCGTGTTCCCCTCAGGATGGATCGCAGGAACCTCTGGGGTTCTTCAGTGTGGTTTACATCCATCACGCCTGATTTTGTGCATTTGGGTCGCCCTCTCTCTGGAAAGGTTCTACATCTCTCCTCGTGGGTTTGTCAGTCGTCTGAGATCGTTTTGAAACGCTGGTTTTCCGTCTCTGTTTCTCGTTGGTAGGTTTCATGTCGCTGGGGAGAAAGTTCTGCATCTCTTCAGGTTCTGTGTCGCTCCGGTTGGTTCTGTATTATATTGTGGTCTGCTTTCTTAAAGGGGGCTGGGTGGTACTTGGGTCCGTCTGGAGGTGTCATGGCGTTTCTTCAGGGTGACTGAGATCTTCATGTGTTCTTGGAGCGGGTTTCCCTCTATATTCAGAGGAGGATCACCACGATCTTGTTTAGGGGGGCGTGGCTCATTGTCCGATCATACTCCGACTACGCTGGTTACATGGTAGAGAAAATCGGATTCCAATCTCATTATCTGGGTGTCCTAATCGGAGTTTGAGAACTCTGATTATAGTCGGACTAAAGTGTTTACATGACCTTCAGTTGTCCGGTCTTAATCGGAATAAGGCGATAATTCGGTTTTCTTGAGTGTCGTGGGAATGTGATGAATGTTTGGCGAGGTCCCTTTGAACTTCACGGTAGGAACGTCTTGTCTTCAGGGTTGGACTGTCAAATCTTTGGGGGAGGACCTTTTAGTGTGTCGGGGAGGCTCTTTGTCGTCTTGGGAAACTTTTGCATCTTTTTCGTTCTCTCCGAACTTGTTCGATGTTTTTGTCATTTTGAAGTCGCTGTTGTGTTTCTTTGGCGTCACATTTTCATCTGGTAGTTTCGCTGTTTTTAAGTTGTCCTGCAGGTTGTTTGGCTGAGATGGTTTTTCTTCTCGGTCGTCGGTGTCTCCATGAGGACATTTGGTGTTTTTTTTCAGGGATGGCTTCGTGGATCTTCACTGAAGGTTCGGCCTCTCCTGATGGGATTCCTCTCCTTGGTGGAGTTTGGTGCGTCTTTTGGGGGAGGTTTTGTAGTTTTGTAGTTTTGGGTTTTCTTTGCGGTTCCTCTGTTTTGTGTTTTTGTTTTTGTTGGGTTTCCAATCACAGTGACAACATTTAAACTTCATTCAAAAGTTGTTGTTGTTTGTTGGAACTGAAAAACTACTGTCTCATGGGAGTTGTAGTCCTTAGAAGTAAATGAATGTCTGGAACAACTACAGATGTTTATAAATAGTTTATTCACCTTTACAGTGTTTTTATTTTATTATAAAACAAGGAGGGGAAGAATAAAAGAACTGGGAGGGGGGGGGTCAGTTTAACATGAAATGTCTCCATGGTGATACAGGCCTGTAGTTAAGATGGGTTTTCAGTTTGTTTGATTACAAAATCAATACCTGACAAATAAAAACACGACAATCGTCATCATGAACAGAAACACTGTGGACCACTGAGCTGACACCTGAAACTGAAGCAGACGCTCGGCTCCGAAGAGTTCTGCTGCTGAACTGACGCCCGACAAGAGCGTTTACACGAGGACATGGACCTCCTGATACTCCGAATATCCTCAAACCTCAGACTCCAGCGGTGTTTGGACCGGGCTGAGATACAGAGGACTCTCAGGAGCAGAAAACTGCGGCAGCTTCAGGGAAAGGTGCGGTCACATGACACCCCCGGACTCTGAATACTTACTCCATCTCTTTAAAAAAAAAGCCAGAACTACAAGTTTAAGAACGAACTTCCTGTCTTGCTGCGATCTCTGACACTCACAGGTCGTGGATCCTTGAATTTGTACTTTCAGTCAGTAGAAACATCGATACTCCGGGTTTGAAATGTCGACTCGGTTAATCTAGAGAGGCTTTTATACAACATGAGACTGCACCACCATCATATCCTCTAACAGAGCTCAGCTCCACGGAAGAGGAGGGCGGGTGTGACCGCACCTTAAGGCAAAAAGAAGTACATGAATATTGACCATGTTCACTCCGTCACCTCCAAACGAACAAACATGAAAATAAAACATCAAAGTCGGAGCTTCATTTTGGCAGGTTTGGTATGAGATGTAAACAGAAAAAAAACATCGTTAACGAAACAAAGAAGCTTTTCCACTGAAGGAAGTACACAAGTTTGAGTTTCCTGTTGTAACCTGGAGCTGTGATTGTTGGGGGTCAAAGGTCAATCCAGAGTGGGGATGGGAATGGATCAGATTTTATCAATACCGATGCTTACCGATGATTTTGATTGGACGTTACAGGTCAGCTTATTGCAGATAAAGTCTCTGATTGGTGGACACACCAAAACAAAGACGGGATTATTTGACAATAATCTCACAAACCTTCGACATGAATCATTGGGGTTGGATCTGTTTGGTGTCTAAATACTCAGATCCTCTTTGTGGGACAGAACAGGTCCGGAGTTTATCAGGCTGCTGGTCTCACAAAGCCAGTGGATTTTCCAGAGAGTCAGTCCGTCAGATCGCTCCTATCTTCTGTCCAACATCTTTTACTCTCTCGGTTGTCATTCATGTTGACTGACTCTCATGATTCTGTTGTTTGGAAAGTCATAAAAACTAAGAAAGGCATCGGTAAGGGGACCGTTAAGTATAAAGGCAAATGAAGTCCATGGACTCAAAACTAGTTCTTGATTCCCATCCCTAATCTAGAGTCCTGTTTCGGGGGAACAAATCCAAGTTCTGTGATCCTCCAAACACCGTTGACCTCGTCTAAAACACAGAGAATCACTGATCTGCAGACTGAACTCATGACGCCTCCAAATTTAGATTCAGGTTTTTGTGCGTCTGTGACTAGTTCACACCAACACGACCTGAAGTTTAGCTGGAAGAACCAGAGATCAGTTCTGGGAGTTCCCTGTGACTCTGAGTCTGCGCAGAGACCCTGGACGTCTGCTGGACACTTGGTTTAAAAACGTTCCTTTTACACTTCTGCTAAGTTCAGTAAAATCTGAGTCAAGGACCGAATCCTCATCCTGCATTAAGGCCGGTTCTGCTAACGTGGAATCAGTGTCAGTATCTGATCGGACCTCCGAGACGGTCATGACAAAATTAAAAGAGGATGCGTTGCTCGTGACCCATTCCTATAAAACGGTCAAAAGAAAACAGACGAAGAGCACCTCAGTCAGAGAGATGGACAGCACCAACCTGGCCTCAAGTTCCCAGAATCCCTCAGTGCACACCTTTACGTGCACACCTGTATGTGCGGTGTACAATTAGAGTTCAACAGAGGGGGCTTAAACCTAGACCGCCACACCATGACCTCTCCACTTTGGGGGAATTATTGTGGAATTTGACAGACTCACCGTTACGGTAGTTTACGAGTTCTGTTTCTGGTTTTTAAACTGGACTGCAGTCATTGGGTTTTCCTGTTGATCAGTTTCAGGTTGTAACCCCCTCTGGTGAACGAGTCCACACAGTGATGTCTCAACAGGTTGGTGAAAGGAAGTGAGGCCAGGTCTGACAGCACCTAACAGGACTCAAGACAGGAAGTGTGTCGTTGTTGCTGTGAAACACACGAAGAGAGCCTGTGGATTCATCGTCACTGACCACAAAGCTGCTTGGCGTCCGAGTTAGAGAGACCAGACGAACACTCGTGGCTGGTAAAGAGCACCACAGATGGACAACAGGCTAAGATCAACCCTGGTCAGCTTAGCTTAGACCCAGACAGATGAAGTGTTGGCCCAACAACTGTTCACTGGTTTACTGTTGGTTCAGGATGTGATCACGCAGGATGGGATTTCTTTAAAATCTGTTTCTTTCACTCTTCTACTTGTAATTATCCAAACGCCTCTCAACACGCAGCCTTTACTGGTTTTAGCTTTGGCTCAGGGATTTACAGAGGAGTGTCCTCGTCCCTTAGTCCATTAAAAACCAATTCTGTTTTTATCAACACTTTCATCACAGCCAAACTTTGTTTAGGGGTTTTAGGAAAGCCCAACACCCTACGACTTAGGGGCCGTTTCTTGGACCAGCGCCTTTTCAATCTCAGGATTAGTTGGAGAGACTCTCAGTCGAGACTCTTTTACCTACTCCAGAGTCAAACAGTTTTCAGACATCTGGGATGCCACTCTCTTGAGGCGGCCTCCTCAGTCTCTGGATTCGGGTCCTGTTGACACCGGGATGGAATCACATGCTGGGAAAAGAGTCCTTTTGTTTAGAAATCTGAGGGTTCTCCGGCCCGTGGAGTACATCCTGCATGATCACGATCTTGAAAAGGACCACCGGGTTGACAGCAACAACTTCAACACCTTCAGGGTGAACGGGACCAACACAGAGCCAACGAACGGTATTAGCACCAAATGTAGGGACGGAAATCAGACATCGAGAGTTTTGCTTTTACCAACACTCAATCTGGAGGCAGATGTTCCTCTGGATGACCATGAAGGATGCTCCAATCTATCAGAACCAATTGGCACCAATAAGCCGAGCAAGCGACTTCTGACAATATGGTCTCAAGTTTGGGACCGTCAATTTGACATCCAGCTGGGGGTGATTTGGGACTCTACTTTGTGGATCCAAGGGGGGGCATCTACAAATCGGTCATGAACTCTGAGGAAGCCCAAACTCCAGGGATCAGACGTGGACCGGTCTGCTCCGTGGAAAACAAACCCATGAGAGAATCCACTTGTTTTTACTGAATGGAGCATCCCCAGTGGTCAGTGCCTCTCAGTCCTGAAAGAATCGTCTCAAACTCGATGTTATGTCTTCAAAGTTGTCCCATCAGTTAGGGGGACAGCTGTCAAAAGCTGAAGTGCTTAAATGTCTCTAAAAAAGTTCTATGGTAATCGTCTACGGACAGAGTTATAGTTATAGAGCATCACCAAAGACACATATAGGCTGAATCTCATGGCTCCTAAGACTGATGGTGATGGTGCTGGAGGCTGTTTGGTCAGCACAGCAGCCGGAAGTTAATCCATACATCCATTCATTCATTCATTAGCTTTACTGTTTATGCTGCTTGGGGTCACCGGAGACCATCCCAGCTATCATTGGGCGGAAGGCAGAGGACAGATCACCAGGGTAGCCGGGAGTTACTGCAAGCTCAAACAAACCTCCAGCACCTTTGTGGATGGAGTTTCCTGACATGACCAACCGTACTCTGGAGCTGCACATGGACCAAACATCCACCTATACCTCAGGTTTTACACTTATCAAGCAGACACACCAGTACACGTCTAACCACGCGGAGTCCTGCCGTCGAACCTGAGGAACTCTCAGCTAAAACTTTACAAAGTTTACAGAACGAGACATCCACAGGAGCCAGGTCAGCTTACTTGGATGGACTCGTCAAACAAAACCACCTGTGTTTATGGACTGTCTGTTATAGGGAGCAAACCCTGACCACACAGCGTCCGGCAGACCCAAACCCGTTGCCTGAAGTCTTGGATTTCTGCTTTAGTTTGTGTCGGCGTGTGCGAGCCTACGTCAGCGTATGAAGGAATGCTTATACTGTGGGTAGCTTGTTTGTCATTTAGCTTAATGTTTGATAAAAGTCAGAGAATAGCAAAAATAAGTTTGTGTAACTGTAGAAGCTGATTGAAGGGCTGAAGAGGATCCCTCTGTGCAAAACTGAAGACAGACAGACGGACAGAAAAGGAGCTTTTGTTCACAGTAGGTTTGTACTGGAGCGGGTTCGAACAGTAGATGATTGACAGAAATGCAGCAGATGATGAACGTTTCTCTTCTCTGTTGTCACATTCAAACCGTCACTTCTCCCTGTGTGCTGGTTCAGATCCAGTCCGGGTTATATAATCCACTAAAACCAGCAAAGAGACCACTGGGAGTTATTCAGGACTGGGGACAGATTTAAAATGACACTGGGACAGTTCAGGGTTTGGGTTGGTCTTTTTCTAGTTATAGGCCTGAACTCTGGTCACATGATGTGTCAACGCTGAAGTGCAGCCTCCCACCACTCACCAGAACCATGGGAACCAGAACCATGGGAACCAGAACCATGCTCTATGACCGAAACAGTCACAGATGACCGGTCTGCAACCACTTCACCACAGTGATGGGACACCTGCACAGGCACCTGGACCGGCTGGATTGTAGACTGCTAGTTCTAGCTCTGCTGTTGGTCTACACTCAGCAAACCCAGTTGCCATGGTAACCTGCTGACTCTGTAGTCCTGCGTTGGGCCGTGTTAATTACGTTGGATGGGGCTTATCTCGATATGAGTGAGAACATGAAAACAGAGACGGGTCCGGACTTACTGAGTCCTGATTCCCAGAGTTTCATGGTCGTGGTTTTCTTTGCTGGTTTTCAAACTCCACTCGGTCGTCTCCTAACGAGGAGACTGAGAGGTTTGAAGGGACTGAAACTTTGTTGGACCTGGACTGAACATGAGACACCAGGACTCAGAGAGAAGAGTCGACTCCCCGACAAAGATTAACAGACGTGGAAACTGAAGCAGGAAGAGAAGCAGAAAACTCAGGATTGGTCTGCGTAAAGTTTCCTAAAACTGGAAGGAAGGAAGGAAGGAAGGAAGGAAGGAAGGACACATGGGTTTAACCAACAAACATCTGGGTGTAGTCACTAAAGAAGTCTACTCGTCTTTAGATTCAAGTTTTTTCCTTTGTTTTTTAAATCTCCTGTCTGTCCATTCATCTGTCTTATTGTCCATCCGCCGTCCATTGGCCACGCCCACACTTCTCCCCCGCCCCATCACCTCTGACCCCATGTCATGTGATTGTCCAGCTGTGCATTGGGCAGAAGATTGGAGGGGGAGGGGCTTATACTGACCTGAGCTCTTTGATTTAGAGTCCTGTCTTCAGGTCTGGTCCGATGGTTATATTCCCCGCTAGCTTACGCCGCGCTAGTCTTAGCGTGGGGTTCATGAGTGTGTATACATACATCCTGTATATATCCTGTATATATACACATACAGTACCAATAAGAATGGGTGAGGGTGTGTGTGTCAGACTTTCGTGATCTGATTGTGATGGTCCTCTTCGAAAGGCTCGTTCTCCGGGTCCGAGTCTGTCGTGTCGGAGTAGCGGTAGTGATCGGGCTCGTTGTCGCTAACATCTGGCGTAACCGAGGCGGTGCTGCTGGCGTCACAGTTAGCTCCTTCCTCTACCGTCTTGGTGAAATAAAGTTTCACCTAAAAATGAAAACAGAGGGTGAACCAGAAGGAATCCTGAGGATGAACCACCTGAGGAAACACCTGACAGGAGACACGCCTCACCTTGAAGTTCGGGGAGAAGTTCCTGTTCGCCTTGTCCTTGTTCGCTTTGTCCAGGTCGTTCTTGGTCAAGGTGAGAACCAGGTAGTCTCTGTCGTTGGTTTCTCCTCCCATCAGCGTCATCGGGGTCATCATCCCAGGGTTCGGCTGCGTCCTGTCGGCAGGTTCCCGTGGAGCCCCCGCGCTGCCGTTCTCCAGTTTGTCGAGGTTCTCCTCCGGACCCGGGATGAAGAAGGTGTTGACCCAGAAGTGGAACATCTTTTCCTGAAAGACGAAAGTCCCGAGTTACAGGATAAAATCTTATAAAATCTGTTTGTAGTCAGAGTCGTATCGTCCAATCAGAAGTCAGCAGAGGAAAGAGTCACCTCTGTGGTGTCCTCGTACCTGACCGACACCTGGACAGAGAAACGGCTGAGCTGATTGGACACAAAGAAAGACGTCTGAGACGAACCCTGACCTGCACCCGGAATGGCTCCGATCCGGAACGGCAGCAATTTTCGCCGTACGCCAATTCCTACCAGATCTGTTTGTGAGGCGAATTTATCGGCAAATTACAGGCAGGAATCGTGAGAACTCACAAGATCGCGCGATAACGAGTCGTCTCTTTAAAGACAGACACATAGACGTGAAAACGACGTCTAAAAACCTTTCACTTGTTCGTCTCCGCCCGTTTGCATGGAGTGAAATACGATCCTCCTGAAACACGGAGTGTTTTATTTTGAAAAGAAGACGGATGTTTTATTTTGAAAAAGGCCAGTTGAAATTGACACGTTAACTTGAATGGTTACGATCCGCTACGATCAGCAGATACGTTTTTTTGGTAGCCGATCTGGATTCAGAGGATGTTGGAGGTCAGACTCAGACTGTCGTCCATCTTTCCGCTCCAGTCGGTGGTTTCAGAGGCTCGAGGAAGAGGACAGGAACCTTTCGACCCCCCAGGTGTGGTTTTCTCTTTTCCTGTTTTATCAGGTTAAAACCTCCACAGCAGCTCATTTACTGACTCACACAGAGGACTCTCATTAAAGCTCTTCTTCTTCATCACATCTCCTCACCTTCTTCATCATCTTGTTCTGTTTGTGGAAAAACTCCACCTTGATGTCTCCGCAGACAGGAAGTGGCTGTGGAAACTCAAACAGCATGAGTTTGTCCTCCCGCCGTGTGTGGGTGGGGTTAGACGTGTGGATCTTCACCTTCAGCTGGTACACCACGAACTGGGGGTCTGAAACGAACGAAAGAAAATAAAACTGTTCAATGATCGGAGGAGAGGAGAGGAGAGAGGAGAGGGGAGAGGAGAGGAGAGGAGAGAGGAGAGGGGAGAGGAGAGGAGAGGAGAGGGGAGGAGAGGGGAGAGGAGAGGAGAGGAGAGGAGAGGAGAGGAGAGGAGAGGAGAGGAGAGAGGAGAGAGGAGAGAAGAGGAGAGAGGAGAGAGGAGAGGAGAAGAGAGGAGAGGAGAGGAGAGGAGAGGAGAAGAGAGGAGAGGAGAGAGGAGAGGAGAAGAGAGGAGAGGAGAGGAGAGGAGAGGAGAGGAGAGGAGAGGAGAGGAGAGGAGAGGAGAGAGAGAGGAGAGGAGAGGAGAGAGAGGAGAGGAGAAGAGAGGAGAGTGTAGAGGAGAGAGGAGAGAAGAGAGGAGAGGAGAGAAGAGAGGCAGGCTAAAAAGTGAGAGACATCATCAAATTCAAATCAAAATCAATGATAAAATTATAAATAAAGACAGTCAGTTACACACACACACACACAGACACACACACACACACACACACACACACACACACACACACACACACACACAGACACACACACACACACACACACACACACACACACACACTCTCAGACTCACTGCAGGTTCCTCCGGTGAACATGGGGATGGTCTCAAACAGCATCTTGTGGAAGAGCAGAGCCACGGGTTTGTAGAGCAGCTGGTTCCTCAGCAGGAAGCTGTAGTAGATGACGTAACGCCGCTGACTGGGGATGGTGACGCCCTGAGAACGCACAAACACACACATCATCAACAGGAGACGACCACCGCCACAGTGCTCAATCAGGTCCTCAGACCAGAGTCCATCATGAAGGTTGTTGAAGCTCCAGGGTTTGATCCCTGTGCAGATGTTTCTCCTGGTTTTTGGTGGATCTGGTTTCTGCAGTCTAGTCCCCCATCAGCTGACTAAAAACTCTACATTAGACCCAGACCCGTGTTCTCGTACCTTCTTGTCCCGGGTGCGGACCTCTCCATAGAAGTCCAGCGCCTCCTGAGCTTCCTGGAACTTCCCTCGGTGGAGCAGGTAGGCGCAGATCATCACGCCCGTTCGCCCTTTTCCCGCCTTGCAGTGGATGGCGGCGACATGCTGCTCGTCCTCGCTCAGCCACTGATCCAGGTCCTCGCAGAACGGCTTTATCAGCTCCAGCTGGGGCGGGTTGTGGTCCTCGAAGGGGTACTGAGCCACTGAGGGGCACAAAGAGAGCTGTGAGACACCTGACACACCTGCGGGGCGCCATCATGAAGACGGGGAGAGGGGTCAGAGGTCAGCGTTACCTTGACAGTTGAACTTGGCAGCATCATAATGTCTCTCAGCACACCTGAGGAGGAGAGTCAGAGTGAAGTGGGATCAGAGGAGGACCAGGAACTGGGCTGAGGTTTGGGTTAAAACATCACTACAGTCACTGACGACCAATCAGAACACAGAAACACCAGATTTACACGCACAATTCTTATTTCCGGGAGGGGTCAGAGTTCACAAGTTATTCCTCTTCTCACTTCTTCTCAAATATGTAAATCTGTTTTATGTTAAAATATTTTGCAAAACTTTTCATATTTTTGGTTTTTATTTTCAAAATAAACTTCAATCAAAAAAAAACCTTCTGCACGACCAGCCCAGTCTTTCACAGCTGACCGAGGCCTCACGCTCACTAACTCAGGAACATTTTCTCACTTTTAAAACTTTTACTAAATTCTCAAACTGGTTCCAAGTTCTCCCAAAACACACAAAAACCCGGCTAACCAGGACGGCAGGAGCACAGGAGGAGGAGAGAGAGTTCAGACTCGTTTCTTTCTCCAAAATGAGGAACAAACTGTTAAAGGAGACAACAATTCAACCTCCACTCCTATCAGACGTGTTTCCCTGCAGGAGTCTGAGGATTTTGACCCTGTATGTCGGGAAACTGGACTCCTGAACCGTGAGGTTATGCTGGACTGTCTGCAGACCCTCTCCAGACTGGGACACTGAAGGTTCTGGATGTGAAGATAAACCCACATCTGAAAATAATCAGTGAGTAGAAGAAGGTTTGAGGACTCACAGATTGTAGATCTTGTAGTGATTCTTGTGCTTCGAGTCTAAAAACCTGCGAGACAAAAACAAACAAACAGACATTTAGTGTCTTTGAACGCAGCATCTCCAAACCGCCGCCGCTGACATGAACGGTTTTCGTACCGTACGACGTCGTCGATGTTGTTCCTGTAGACTCCCTCCAGGCGCTCGGCAGGGAAACCCATGGCGATGATGTTTGGATAAATATCTGACCACCAGTCAAGGACTAAGAAGCTCCATCTGGTGAGTGTTCACCTCATTCCCTGAATATGAAGTTTAATTGTTGTTTCTTATGATGAAGTCCTCTCCACTTTTGGGACCCTGACACCCGCAGCTGAGGTACACCTGTATGATCTCCCTCACAGGAACAACCAGCTGACTGTTATCTGCCTCCTGCCAGTACGGGAGTCACCTTTTTACAGTTAGTTCACCACAGAAACACTGCTACCATGGAGACACCGTCACCACAGAGACACCGTCACCACAGAGACACCATCACTGAGGCTGAAGGATTCAAACCAGCAGCTCTGTGGTCGTATCTCTCCTTCTCTGTCCTCTGCTCTGCTCTCCACTTAAAACCATGATGTCATCGATGCTTCACACACACACACACACACACACACAGTAACACACACACACACAGCCTGGAGGCTCACAGCACAATGACTCCAAACATAAATCATATCTGTGAGAGCCTCAGAGATTATTTCAGATTTAAACTTTAAACATTTCATCCTCAGATTTTTTTCAGGATTCATGAATTCGTCCACGGAGCGAGTTTAGACAAAAGATTACGACATAAAAACACCCAGACACACAACTCTGAGCTCTTTTACTGTTTACAGTTAATCACAGGCTGCAGATCCAAAAATCACTCAGTCTTTAAAAGCTTTGAAAAAACATCAAGACTTGAATTTGATGAAGATACAGACCAACGACCCTCTGTTAAAACCGACAGGCTGTGAGCTCTCCTGGTCTGGAGCCTCTCTCCTCTCCCTGCTCCCCTCTCTCTCCTCCTCTCCCTGCTCCTCCTCTCCCCCTCCTGCTTCTCTCCCCTCTGTGTTTATGCTTTAAATAAACTGAAATAATGTTTTTAAGTCATTTAAAGCTGGAGATGTTTCACAGTTTTATAAGTTCATTTTTCAGATTTCAGTCAATAAATGCAATAGTTTTCATTATGGATTCAGAAATAGTATTTCCGTCAGTTTGGATTAAAAATGCTAATAAGTTCAGCGAAGTTTGACATTTTAAATAAAAATGTTCAACAGATCCTGAATTCAGAGCTGAATAAAGTCAGGATTAATCATGTCCTGATTAGAGGTTAAAATGCTGTAAGACGTTATTTTATGGTCAACTGATTCTAATTTCTGTAAAATGATGATGATAGAGGAGAGGAAAACACCTGAACAGGTCCAGTTTACCGAAGAAGTTCATTAATAATGAGATTTATTCTCCGTTAATAAAGTGACCCAGAGAGGAACATGAACCGTCAGATAAAGAGTATGTTTATATAGGATATAAGAAGAAGAACTTGTATATCTTCGGTCAGTGTTTGGTCATTTCAACAGTATCTTGTTATAAATCCAGGTGAACCCCTCTCAGGTGTGTTCGGCTCAGTCCGGACTGATGCTGATGCAACGCCACTGACACCGCTGTTAGCTTAGCATGCTAGCAACTGCTCCGTTTACCACCGCTCAGGAACACCAAAAAAAACCATCACAGATCAATAATCAGGCTTTAATATCGATCTTTGTCGACCTGTGTTCGGTTTACTGCCGTAAAATCAACAGTAAGGGATGATAATATTGGAGATAAACGCCCGCTGAGCTAAGTATTCAGTGTTAGTCCCACTCGAGTTTGACTGCGCACCAAACCCCGTTCAAAATACTGCCGATTTAAGACATCTCTCAAAGATGTTTACGTTCATGTCTGAAAACCGACCAAAACCGGTTCCCTCTGGTAAATGCCGAACATCAGCCAAACTTGGTGACATTAACCCCACTTCAATTGACGTACTTTTAGAGTTTGTGGCGTATTTAAGCATATCGCGGCCGTTCCCCGAACAGTCTACAGTGATTCAATCAGAGAGCTCCACTGTTTATAGAAGAACACACTTTTACTGAGAAGTTTGGTTGGTAAATTATCACACCGACCCTGACGCGAGCAGCAGCTCTGTGGGTCCTCTTTGGTTAATTTAGCACACATTAATTACAGGTCTCATTCATTTTAGATATGTCTTCATATTGGACGGAAACAAGCTTAACGTTGGCGGACCAGACAGGGGCGTGTCGAGACTTTTAGAATGGGGGGCTTCATTGAGACACCTGCAGTGCACTAACCCAAGTGAAGAATACTTTTTCACCAATGTTTCTCCATTAATCATATCTAACTTGCCTTTAAACAAGTGTCATGCATTTTTTTTTTGTTCCTGTGTACGTTTCTCTAACTTTAAAATAACTCTACAAGTAACAACTAACCATCACTGTCTTTAAATGTCATATTTAAAGACTCAAAGGAAAGAAAATTAGTGTAAAGTCACTTAAAAGTACTTTTAAAACAGAAAGATAACTCATACACACTGTCTAGCTGTGAAAAATAAAACTATTGTCAACATTTCTGTAAAAACACATTACCAATAAATGTATTTCTGATAATTGGGACAGTGTGCAGGAGTTTAATTACAAATTTTGATGGACTGACTTTACAGTAGCCCTGAAGGTTAACTGCACAAAATTGTTCTAACCATAAAACAAATTTCATGAGAAACAGGGTCAAAGTTAGTGTTTCACAATTCATAAAAGTAACTCCAGAAAGGCAAACCAATTTAGAAAATGTTTAAATAATTAATAAAAAAACATTTAATTATAATATTTTCTGTGAATTTTTTGTCCTGGGGTACTTTTGTTTTGGGAAATATTTTATATTTACAGCAGTGTAAATTGTATTTCACAAACACTTTCTACACTCTGTGATTAGCTATTTGTGTTTTATGAAATATTTCACAGTTGTTATAGGTTTATCTCTTCTACAATATACATAACACAACATAATACTTGTTCCCATAATTATTAATTTTATGTATCACCGTATTTTTTTAAACTTTTGTGAACATTAGAGCGCTCTGTGAGATATTTTACATGTTAAGTACAATGTTTGGACATTTACTGAAATAATGAAATGTTAATTAACCTCAGGGATCTCTGTAGTTCCATCTCCTCATCAAACAGATCTGAGAGATATTTATCTTCAGTTTACAGAACCGACTCTGTCCTACAATAAAAGTCAAACTTAGCTCCCAGCCTTCATACTGGTTTATATTAGTGGTTCTCAACTGGTGGGTCACAAACAGCTGGTCAAGAAAGTAAATATTTAATGCACATCTGATGTTTGACATGTCTTTTATTTTGAAAAATAGCTTATTTTGAAAGGCGTGCGTTATGCCATGGTCCTCCTCGGTTTCTAATTAAAGTGGCCTTAATGCAGAAAATATTAAGTTGTTTTGTCTTTATTTTGTTTAATTTGATATTTATTCACTTTGGTCCTCCGCCAGTTCTTCTAAGTATGTACTGAATGCAGAGATACAAATAAGTTAAGCTTTTCATTTTCCTGGTCTCCTTTTTGTGCGACTTGATATTTTCTGTATACGAAACTTTGGTAGTTGTCGTCCTCAGTTCACGTTTTCTGCAATACACTTTACTCAATAAAAACAGTGAATTTCTGTTAAAGATTTGAGTCTTTAAAGGTTTTTTATTTTTCTAAAACATAAATTTGTTTGGTTTGAATTTTATAAAAGTGGGTCACGACTGAAGGATCATGGGATAAAGTGGGTCCCACAGTGAGACCAGTTGGTTTATATTAATGAGAACTTAAGTACAGGTAACTGACCAGTTATGGTTTATGATGGTTTTAGAATCAGATTTGTATTGGGGGGGCCCGAGCCTCCCCTCGGGCCCCTCCGGACACGCTCCTGTAAGCGGACCCGGGTGAATTAGAATTTCGCAGGTACTGAAAGGATACAGGTGAGGTCCAGATCGAAGCCGTCCTCCTGGTACCGCCTCTTGTTTCTGCTGACGATCTCCTTGATGAGGTGGGCCATGGTCCTCCGGTGGTTCCGGTGAGGCCGGGAAACGCGGACAGAGAAGCCGGACTCAGGCTGTGTTCCTCCGCAGCCTCCGCCGCCTGATTGCCGGAGAGGGAAGCTAAGTTAGCCCGCAGCTAGCTCCCCAGCAGCACTCCGATCTCCAGAAGGTCGAAGTTTAAAGATTTTAGTGAAAATAAATCCTTCCTGATGAGAAACAGCACCGGGGGGGTCTTCTGCATGGGTGAATATTCCGGTACCGGACCTCTCCAGGTGCCGCTCCGTCAGCTCCGGGGTGGACAGTTGCTAGCCGGCCTTTAGTTGACAAGCAGCCCGGCCGTCGGTGCTGTTTTCTGGGTCAGAACAAGGGGGCGTCGGGGCCTCCTCCCCGCTCCCTCTGCGGGCCCGGGTTTCCAGGTCCCCCACCTGGAGACTAAACCATCCGCAGGTTTATTTTCCCGCCCGCTGCAGACGTCCACACGTCGGATGAGTCCGTTAGGAAGCTTCCCGGCCGCGGTGCGCCGCAGAGACGCCGTGACTGAGGGCAGATCGGCGGAGAGAAAAGCTCTCCGAGGCGGCAGTGAGCGGAGGAAGAGACGGGACTGAAGACACACCGTCAAACCAACGACAGCAGCACTGCGCATGTCCGGTCAACGCCTTCAAAGTAATGCTCTCATCGTCATCGTCAGAATAATAATAATAACGCTCCAGTTTCTCCTCTGACACAGTTTAGACAGGTACTCTCAGTGAAATAGTCCACTCAGAATCTGAATAACAGATGTAGACATAAAAAATCCAATGACATGATATCAGGTTTCATTTGCTGGCTGACTGTCCACCCTCTGTTCCTCTCGGCCAATAACAGCTCAGATCGGCTCAAGCCCCCAAAAAACCACGAATAAGATCTGCAGCGTGGAGAGAGGGTGTGGATCCAGTGATGGACGAGTGGATGTACAGATGGATGCATGAACAGACGGGTGGATGGATGGACGGATGAATGACTCTTCTGTACTGAAATGCTCTTTTGTTGGTGTCGACGGTGTTTCTACAGCAGAGAGGGAAACATGAACAAATACAGACAGGTGATAAAACGATGAACAATAAACTAAAACCGCTGAATCTATGATGAAATCCACTTTTAATCCTCCCTGCTTTTTTATCATCAAAGTTTCAGAGCAAATAAACCGACAGTCCAAAAACTTTTTGAAGAGAAAGTACCAGGAACTGTAAAGAACAGAAGAACGTCAGAGTCTGTAAATGTTTCAGGGTTACAGAATAAACTCAATTAACAAAGGTTCATTAACAAAGGTTACTCTGTTTAACATCAGTTATAAACACAATTACATCAGAATCAGCTACATTGGACAAGTACATGAATTTTCTTATTGAATGAAAAATAAATGTTTTTTTTGTAGTGAAATTTCTCTGGAAAAAGGTTTTACAGCAGTAAGAACTTTGGACCTGTTTGGTTGTCCTCCTCTCAGAACTTTTTGTAAACATGTTTTTCCATCAAATTTAAAACGGTCTGATATTTTTTCCGATAATAATATTTTTTCAGATTCAAATTTTTATTTGTTGTATTTGTTCATTATTTAAAATCAAATTTGGACTTTTATTGAATATCAAACCATCCGATGTTGATCAGTGTTAACAGTTGTTAAACTTTAAATCAATTAAAGTTATACTTTAGTGTGTAAATGTGTAAATTCATGAAGTCCCTCCTGTTTGTATTTTTGCAGATTTTTCATTTTAAAATCTTCTTTCTCTCCTTCCTAAATTTTTGACGCAGTTACTCCGATTAAAGGTAATGAATTTAATGCTTTTATTTAGTAAAGTTTCTCATTTCCGTTTATGGCACCATTTTGTTCAGCTTGATGATGCTAACAGTTAGCAGCTAATTTCACTCTCTGACCCAAACGCATCCTGTCAGCACACTGGGTTGCCAGTTTGTGATCCTGTTATCCTCCTATTTAAAGCCTCCATCAGTCCGGAGCAGCTCAGGGGGATCAAATACAGACCTGGCAACCTCAGAGTCCCTCTGCCGTTATGTAATAAATCCTCAGACTGCAGTTTAACTTCACTGATTAAACTCTGGGATCTTCGTGTTTTTACGAAAAACAAACAGAAATGAATTTAGACTGAACTATAAGCAGGAGCTCTGATGAAGAGGATGATGGAGAGGATGATCAAGATGACACTGAGACTATAAATGTGTCTTTCTGTTCTGAGGGTCATCAGCTGTATGTTAGCGCCACCTGCAGGAGGAAAAGACCAAGAGCTCGTTATATAAAATCTTTACAGAGAACAAACCCAAAGACTCTGAAGCTTTAATTAAACAGATTTTAACGTTAGTTCATTTGAATTAAACAGTTTCAGTCATTTGGTGACATTTTCTTCAGCATGTCCAGAAAAATACAAACAACATCAGCTGATTTTGACATTTAAACAAAGATAATAAATGATGTAATGATGACAACAACAAAAACAATACAAATAATATTAATACTACTAATACTACTACTTGTACTACTTCTACTGCCATAATAATAGTAATTAAAATAATAATAATAATTATTATTAAAGTCATAATCATAAAAATAATGATAATAAATAGTTTAATAAATACATAGATACTTTCATACATAAAAATATTATTTTAAGGAATAATGAAAGTAACAAATAATACAAAAAAATAGTATTTATAAATTAATAATAATGATCAAAATAAAAAGATAGATAAATACTTGAACAAATCACACATATTTAGAACAATCACAGTTATAATAAAATTATAAAATATAATAATAATAATAATGATCAATAATTAAATACATAAATGCTTACATACATGAAAAATATTAAGAATAGTAATATTATAATAATGTAATAATAAGTATAATAATAAATATAATCATAGTAACAATAATAATAATAATAATAATAATAATAATAATAATAATAATAATAATAACAATAGATACATAAACACGAAAAAAATATTTTTAATAACATCATGAAATATTATAAATATTTCTTTTATATGTTTCCTTACATAAAATATTTTTTTTGGATGCAGTCTTTCTCGCCTTCCTTCCTTCCTTCCTCCCTACCTTCCCCTCCTTCCTCCCTTCTCTCCTTCCTGGCGGACATCCACAGCTGTAGGTGGCGATAGTGAGTCTGAAACTACAGCTCGGATAAACGTAGAAGAAGTCAAACCGCAGCCTGCACCGAGCACCACCATAGAAGAAGAAGGCTAAACCGAAGAGGATCGATCCCTGTCCTGGTTCCGGAGGTAAGACGGGGTCCGGTCCAAACGGACAGACGGACTCTGTCTTCAGTCCGTCTGTCGGGGTTTTACTGGACCTCTTAGAGGGGTTACTGGGGGTATCAGGTTCCGGTTTATCCGGTCAGGAGCCGCTCTGTTTGTGACGGAGAGCGCGGAAGGTCAAGCTAATGCTAAAGCTAACCCAGAACTGAGGGGTCCAAACTGTGGCCCGGGGACCTCTGAGGGTCCGAGGAGGAGGTCTAACGGTCTGTGAGGGGGTTCACTGTTCTGAGGTACCACACCTGGACAGGTAGGACCACCGAGACCAGCAGACCCGGGTCCTGGGAGTCCATGACTCAGAATAATACTGGACCAGAATGTAGAAAGTCCTGAATCAGAGACCTTTACATGGATCTCTCCTTCACTCACTCATTGATTCACTCAGTCACTCTCTGTTGAACCACCTCAGTAACATCACAGCTGTCCTGGGGAGAAGAGTTTTGGAGGGTGGTAGGGGAAGGTCCCGCCCCCTTCGCCTCTGATTGGCTGTGAAACGTCATCACACGCTGAACCCGAGTGCAGGCCAGCGAACAGAACATTATCGCTATTCTGGATCTCCTAATTTAACACACTGCGTTTGAGTTACATCGGAAGTCTGAGCCGATTTAGCAGTTTAGTTACAAAGTCGGAAAAAGCCAAATTGGAAAGAAGATGGCGACATCTACGAAAGTTATTTTAGCGTTTACCATGACTGAATGTAAGGCAACTGTTGAAATAACGTTCGTAGGTGTAGCCATCTTGTTTCAAATCTCGCTTTTTTCCGACTTTGTAACTGAAACGTTCGTTACTCGGGTGTGACGTCATTTTCACTCGGACTTTTGACTCCAGAGGAAACTCGAACGCAGAATAACCCGAACCCGACAGACGATGAGGTTTCACAGCCGTAAGGAATAACCAATCAGAGCCCAGCACTTCTAGCCAATCAGAGGCAAAGGAGGCGGGACCTCCCTCTAGCATCATACAAAAATCGTCCAGGTCCACTGAGAGACGGAGACAGAGTCGGTCTGACATGGAGCCTGTTTGGAAGAGAAAGAGAAAGTCCTTCAGAGCTGCTGCTCATCACTTTTGGTTTCTGTTTGTGTGTGTGTGTGTGCGTGTGTGTGTGTGCGCGTGTGTGTGTGTGTGTGTGTGCAGCCTCGTGTGTACTTCCTGCCGTCCCCCGCCCTGACCATGGTGCTGAGGGAGGTCCCAGCGGAGAACATCGCCCGTCCTCTGGGCAGGAACGAGGTCATCGGTCTGCTCTTCCGCCTCACCATCTTCGGCGCCGTCACCTACTTCACCATCAAGTGGATGGTGGACGCCATCGACCCCACCAGGAAGCAGAAGTTGGAGGCTCAGAAACAGGTGAGTGTCTCTGGACTCCTGTGGGGGTCGGTGTTACAGCAGGAGTCCAGAATCCTGGACCGCCACACGGCGCTGACGGACCTGACGGTTCGCTCTCTTTCAGGCGGAGAAGCTGATGCGTCAGATCGGCGTGAAGAACGTGAAGCTGTCGGAGTACGAGATGAGCATCGCCGCCCACCTGGTCGACCCGCTCAGCATGCAGGTAAGTCAGAGAGGAGAGAGGCGGGTTACGGAAACCTCAGAGTACCCATGATGCATTGAGGGGTCGATCTATGATGTTTGTGTAGTAAGGATGTCAAAATACAGCGATTCATGTCGGCGGTCCGATACAAACGTTTGTGATGCGACTGCGCCTCACTGCGATGAACATCTCACTGTTCGTTCATCCAGGGGTTATTATACTGTTGTCATGGTAACCCTAGTTGCCCACAGCGATGATACTATTACATCATAATGTCCAAAAATGACCGGTCAGCTACCTGTTAATAAAAGAGGTGTGTGTGTGTGTGTGCGTGTGTGCGTGTGTGTGTGTGTGCGTGTGTGTGTGTGTGTAGATCACATGGAGGGACATCGCCGGTCTGGACGAGGTGATCACAGAGCTGAAGGAGACGGTCATCTTACCTGTTCAGAAGAGACACCTGTTCCAGGGTTCGAGACTGCTGCAGCCTCCTAAAGGTCAGAGGTCATTCTGAAGGTCATGAGGGGGGAGAGAAGGATGGAGGAGGGAAGGAAAACATGGAAAAGGATGCAAGTGAGGAAAGAAGGAAAGAAAGAGAATATGAAGGAGGAAGGAGATAGGAAAAAGGAGATAGGAGAGAAGGATGAAGGAACTAGACAGTAGGAAAGGAGAGAAGGAAGCTGAGGGATGAAGAGAATAAGGAAAGGTGAGGACAGACCATAACCTCTTCTGTCGTCATGGTAACAGGCGTGCTGCTGTATGGGCCTCCGGGCTGCGGTAAGACCCTGATCGCTAAGGCGACAGCTAAGGAGGCGGGGTTTCGTTTCATCAACCTGCAGCCGAGCACGCTGACGGACAAATGGTACGGAGAGTCCCAGAAACTCGCCGCCGCCGTCTTCTCATTGGCTGTTAAACTGCAGCCGTCAATCATCTTTGTGGACGAGATCGGTACGACGCACGCACACACACACACACACACACACACACACACACACACACACAGACGGGTGACCATGACTGTTTGTTGGTCCAGACTCGTTCCTGAGGAGCCGGTCCAGCTCGGACCATGAGGCCACCGCCATGATGAAGGCTCAGTTCATGAGTCTGTGGGACGGCCTGGACACGGACCACCACTGCCAGGTAAGACGTCCCTGAGTGTGTTTTTATTAAATGAGGTGAAGCTCTGCGGTCTGACTGTAGGGGGTCTCACCTTCATGTACCTTCAATCATGACCTCTTTAAACGACCTCATGATGGCGGCAGGGGCGGCGTTACAGTGTGTCTCAGAAACAGTTTTTAAAATTCAGCTGAAGAGCGAGTCAGAGAGTAAAAACCAACGAGGTGAGAGTCAGTGAGGATGATGATGTCACACTGTCGCATTATTATTAATGATAATAGAAATGATAACAATAATAATTATAATAAAAATAGATAATGATAACTGAATATAATAATATTTATATTATTATTATGATGATAACACTGTCTGTACCACAGGTGATCATAATGGGAGCCACTAACAGACCTCAGGACCTGGACTCTGCCATCTTGAGGAGGATGCCCACCAGGTTCCACATCAACCAGCCTGTACGTGCTCGCTCTCTCTCTCTCTCTCTCTCTCTCTCTCTCCCTCTCCCTCTCTCCCTCTCTCTCTCTCTCTCTCTCTCTCTCTCTCTCTCTCTCTCTCTCTCTCTCTCTCTCTCTCTCTCTCTCTCTCTCTCTCTCTCTCTCTCTCGCTCTCTCTCTCTCTCTCTCCCTCTCTCTCGCTCTCTCTCTCTCTCTGTCTCTCTCTCTCTCTCTCTCTCTCTCTCTCTCTCTCTCTCTCTCTCTCTCTCTCTCTCTCTCTCTCTCTCTCTCTCTCTCTCTCTCTCTCTCTCTCTCTCTCTCTCTCTCTCTCTCTCTCTCTCTCTCTCTCTCTCTCTCTCTCTCTCTCTCTCTCTTCTCTCTCTCTCTCTCTCTCTCTCTCTCTCTCTCTCTCTCTCTCTCTCTCTCTCTCTCTCTCTCTCTCTCTCTCTCTCTCTCTCTCTCTCTCTCTCTCTCTCTCTCTCTCTCTCTCTCTCTCTCTCTCTCTCTCTCTCTCTCTCTCTCTCTCTCTCTCTCTCTCTCTCTCTCTCTGTCTCTCTGTCTCTCTCTCTCTCTCTCTCTCTCTCTCTCTCTCTCTCTCTCTCTCTCTCTCTCTCTCTCTCTCTCTCTCTCTCTCTCTCTCTCTCTCTCTCTCTCTCTCTCTCTCTCTCTCTCTCTCTCTCTCTCTCTCTCTCTCTCTCTCTCTCTCTCTCTCTCTCTCTCTCTCTCTCTCTCTCTCTCCTCTCTCTCTCTCTCTCTCTCTCTCTCTCTCTCTCTCTCTCTCTGGTCCTGACCTTCAGTGTCTTTGTTTCCTTCAGAGCATGAGGCAGAGGGAGCAGATCCTCAAACTCATCCTGGAGAACGAGAGTGTGAGTGGAACATGTCCTTCAGCTCCGTGAACATCACTCAGAACCTTCTCGGGTTCTTCAGCCTGGAGGTCCGACTGACTCGTCTTTACTCTGTCTCCGTCTCTCTGCAGGTGGACATGTCCGTCGACCTCATGGACGTCGCCAAAGAAACAGACGGTTTTTCAGGAAGTGACCTCAGAGAGATGTGTCGTGATGCTGCGCTGCTGTGTGTCCGAGACTTCGTCCACACTCAGAGCGACAGGTACCGGTCCACTTCACGCCAGAGACGCCAAACACGCCATCGTCAGCGGAAAGGTCGATTCATTTGGAGCTTTCTGTTTCTGCTTCTAATGTGTGTGTCTCTCTCTCTCTCTCTCTCTCTCTCTCTCTCTCTCTCTCTCTCTCTCTCTCTCTCTCTCTCTCTCTCTCTCTCTCTCTCTCTCTCTCTCTCTCACCCTCCCTCTCTCTCTCTCTCTCTCTCTCGCTCTCTCTCTCTCTCGCTCGCCCTCTCTCTCTCTCTCTCTCAGTCCATCAGAAGAAGACTACATTCGTCCCATCCATCAGAATGACCTCCAGAAGGCCATCAGTAAGATGAAGAAATCCAAATCAGCGGGCGGACAGAGCGTCCTGCTGCACGCCGCTCTGGACTAACCTCACACACACACACTCACACACACACACACACACACACACACACACACACACACACTGACCTGCTGTTGTCTCTACATGTGTTTAAAGATGTTCATCATGTGCCACTGCTTTGTGTTTTTTTATGAACCAGCTGATCGTGATGCTTTCAGGAACAGAATCAAAAACTCGCCGTTCTGTTTCTGAAAGTCGAAGTTGAACTTCCTCCCGAGCTTCGCCGCTGTAAATAAACTCACCCAAACGTTTCTTTTCTTGTTTAGTTGAACTTTTATCAGAGTGGGTCTGGGTTTGAATCTGTTTTTGCCTTCAGTTCAGCAGAAGTGAAAGTCTCAGTGAGCGTCACGTTTAGCTGTTACTGTGTCCACAGGGGGGCGCCAAAACAACAGGAAATGCATGACCCTCAACAGTCCAGGTGGGTGGTGAAAACCCCCCAGTCTGGTCTGAACTCTCTCTGTCATACAGACAGCTGTAATGAGTCTAAATGGACCTCTGAAGACCTGATCCAGGTTTTTCTCACCTGAGATTCTCTGTTTGAACTTTTTCCTCTTTTAACTTATTTTACAGTCAATTAAAAAAGTTCAAACTCCATCAAATGGAAGCAGAACTTTTCAGTCATGTTTACTCGATGAAGATCCTGATTCGGTTTTTAATAAAAACTGAACTGACAGTTTTTTTGTTTTATGAAAACTCCTCCGACAGGTTCATGAAGTCGTAACGTCTCCAAAGATAAAGAGTCCGAGAGCAGAACCGTGTTTTTGTTTTTTTTTACAGTCTGTTGTAAAATAAAAACTGATGGATGATGAAATAAAAGAGAATATCAGGATGTGTGCTCGTCTTTAATAAAAAAAGACTTTCTAATATTTAGTCTTCAGAGGTTTCTAAGAAAAAGACTTTCAGAATAAAAGTCCTCTTAGTCTGCCTTTAGGGGGAAAAAACCATCACTGAGAAATATGAGATTATTTTGAATAAAAGTTTCTGGAGACGAAGTTTCATGAAAAAGTTTCAGAGGAAAGAAACGATTTCAGTGTCGAACAGAAAAGACTTTAAAAAACCTCGACTGTCGAAATCATCGTCACAAAACGCCAAAAAAAACAACTTTTGAGAGAAAGTTTCAGTTTCGAAGGTTAAAATAACGTCTGTGAGCGAAAATACTTCAAATACTTTATCGTCTGTCATTTTTACTGAAGAAACACGAGTTTGTCCTACGGCAACAGTGGAGGAGGAAACTGGCTCTGGATCCTGGGTTCCACAAAGATGGGTCCCAAATGAAGGAACCCTTGTTTTCTTCTTAAAGAGACAGTAGCGGTGAGTCTAAAATGAGGGTTTTCAGAGACCAGGACTGAGTTTTTGAGGGTAAATCCTGTAAAGAGTCCTCGAGGTACCAGAGGGACTGAACAGGAACTAACAGAGGACCTCCCAGATCCTCTGTGGTCCTCTGTAGACCTGATCATCGTCTCAGTTTTTCAGTTTCATTTTCTCCTCTTTGTAAAATTAAAAGTCGTCTTTCAAATTAAAGGTCGATTCCGCGCTCTCGTCAGGTTGAATGAATGTTCAGAAACATTTTGTCGAGTTTCAGGTGAAAAATTTTTATTAAAGCTTTTTGATTCAAAACATTTGGCATCCATCATTCAGCAGAAACAGGAAGTGAAAGAAAATAAAAGCACAGAGTGAAAGAGGAAACTGATTTCAAGTAAACAGGAAACGATAAAAGCTGAGCGACCAACATTTGGCACAAAGACGTAAAAATAAAGAAGAAGAAGAAGCTCTCACCCTGAAGACTAAACTGAAGGTTTAGGTCTCTGAGACTCTTATTGTGAAGTTCTCCCTCTAACAGGAAGAAGTGCTGGACTCAGCAGCACCTGGTGGCTGTGGGAGGAACTTCAGCTCTGAGACCAAAAACTACGACAGAATCCAAACGACGACAGAAAATCAAGTCTAAAGGATCGGAGTCGTCACAAGAAGATCCAACCGAATAAATAAGAACCTTTAAGAACCCTGAAAAGAGCCGGGTCAGAACCAACCCTGCAGTACCATCCCTAAAAACCCATCATCTCTCTAACCCACTAATTAACAGCAGACTAACGAGTTCAATAGTAAAGGGTCAGTTCACCTAAATCAGCACAAACACAGGAAACTCAAACTCTGAGCGTCAGTCAGCCGGACCGCAAAAATCAGGAGCGAACGGACGTTTGTCTACAGCGACTCATCGGTCAGTGATTCGACACGAACATCGGGAATGAACGAAAGTTTAAGGAGGTAAAAACACGGAAATCAGATAAACGATCAGACTCCGTTAAAGAGGAAAGGTTAATCAATCGAGTCAGAAAACAAAACCAGAGAGGGTACTAGAGTCAGAGAACGACACAAACTCTACGACCACAGAGACAAACAACAGACACAGCTGCTCTATCATGGCCCCTCTACCTGTCGACTCTGTTGTTAAAACATCAGTGTGTCTCAGGCTGCTCTATCAATTCCACTCTACCTGTTGACTCTGTGATAAAAATGTCAGTGTGTCTCAGGCTGCTCTATCATGGCCCCTCTACCTGTCGACTCTGTTGTTAAAACATCAGTGTGTCTCAGGCTGCTCTATCAATTCCACTCTACCTGTTGACTCTGTGATAAAAATGTCAGTGTGTCTCAGGCTGCTCTATCATGGCCCCTCTACCTGTCGACTCTGTTGTTAAAACATCAGTGTGTCTCAGGCTGCTCTATCAATTCCACTCTACCTGTTGACTCTGTGATAAAAATGTCAGTGTGTCTCAGGCTGCTCTATCATCGCCCCTCTGCCTGTTGACTCTGTGATAAAAACGTCAGTGTGTCTCAGGCTGCTCTATCCTCGCCCCTCTGCCTGTCGACTCTGTGGTTAGTTTGTTGTCATGGTGAAACTCTAGTTTTGTTTAGTATTCAGCAGGTCTCACAGACAGCAGTGTCGGTGTCTTCTGTCAGATCTAGTCCAGCTGATCAAACTCTGATGACCTGAGACTAAAACATTCGTCCAATCAGGAGGGACTAAAACATCATTTCTCTTTGTCTAGATCTATGTCAGTGTTCAGATCAGGTCAGAGTGATCTAGGATGACACTCGGCTCACAGACACTGACACACTCAGGTCTGTCCATGTCAGTCGTACTATTGTTTATGTTTTATTTTGAAAGGCTAAAGTGTTAGCATGCTATCATTATCTGAGTCAGTCTGCTCAGTCAGGGGGCGTGGCCAAAAAGGGGCCCAAGTATCCTGATCTATGATTGGCTACTTGCCCTGACAAAGGCGGGACTTCAGTTTAAAGCAACTAAAAATCGCTGACAGTATCTTTACTGTCAAAGTCAGACACTAGTTTGTATTTAAAAATGTAGAAATACGTCAACCTAGATCATTCACAAGAATCAAGTTTTTACAGGAATAAAGTTCAAAGGCAAACATTCAACTATCAATCAACAAGAAGAGTCATTAACGGGAATAAACTCAATTAATCAATCAATCAATTCATCATAGAAGTCATATAGTTTGTGATTGACACGACCGATCCCCTAAAATAAAGTCATGCAGTAAAGGAAATAAACCCGTGACCACAAATCTAGATTTACAAGAATAAAGTCGTACATTTTTGAGGAAAATTTTTCATTTACATATTTACAATTAAAAATAATCCTAAAGAGTCTTTGACAAGATTACAGTCCTGAATAATCTGGTAAAATTAGAATTAAAGCTTCAAACTTCAGAAAATAAACAAAATTTATGATTAAATTAAAAAAGAGAAAAAAAAACTGTAGAAAAAGTTTCAATTCTCCTGAATAAATTCATAAAACGACTGAAATGTAAATTTAGCAGAAAAAAATGTGAATTGAACTGAGATTTGAAACTAGAAAAGTCGTTTTCATAACAAGATTTACAAGAAAAAAAACTTTAAGCAAATGTTCTTTTAAATCCGTCATCCAGGGTTTAAATTTAGGAGGATTCATCTGTTCTTCACCAGCTCATTAAATAAAGATCGGCCCCCCCCATGAGTCAGGGCCCCCCAGTCTGAAAGTCTGGACACGGCCCTGGAGCTCAGTGACTTCCTGTTCCTGTTTGGAGGTTTTTAGAGTCCGGAATAAAAACTCAGGAAGGAAAAACCCGAAACCCTGAAAACAAAAAACTGACCGGCACTCAGAACCGGTCCAGACCTCCATACGACCCCAGAACCAGACCACAGAAACCAGGTTTCATGACACTGAGGGTCAGCAGCCAATCAGCAGGTAGGATGGCAGCGCTGAACAGGCTGATTGGTTCGTGACTGTGCGTGATGACAAACAGGAAGTGGACGTTTCAAAACAATAACCTGTGGTCAGTTCCTGCAGCGTCCAGCAGAGGGCGCTAAAGGAGAGGAGGTCATGTGACCCTCTTTAAACCTAAACGGACAGAGTCTCACTGGACTGACTGCTGTTGGGCTGTGATTGGACACTCATAGCAGTGGGCGGGGCTTATGTTTATTCTAAAGGTGGTTAAGGCTGCGGTCTGAGGAGGGTTCTGGTTCGGACTGGATCAGCTGACCTGTGTCTCCGCTCAGAGCTCGATGTTGGGTCCACGCCCACCGCTCCTCCCCTCACACTCCCTCTCAAAGTCACAGCCGTCCAGCAGGTGGCGGTATGTTAGTCTGACGTCCCGGTACAGCGGCGCGTCCTCTTTCTCTAGACCCGGGAATCGAACCGGCGTCTCGTTGATGAGCAGCTGCAGACGCGGCCCTCGCTGACAATCGTACAGAACGAAGAGGACGTTAGCGGCGTACGGGACGATCCGACTGGTCCGGAAACTTCTGCCTGTGAGACGCGACAGGAGAGAGACACGGGTGAGAGAAACAGGAGAGAGACACGGGGGAGAGACACAGGACAGGAAGTTCATCACAGAGAGGGGGCGGAGTCATTGAGGGTTTCAGGATTCAGTAAAGACGAAGAAGAGTCGATAAAACCGAGAAAAACTAAAATTCAAACTTGGAAATGAAAACTCAAAGTCAAAACTCGAACCCTCGACTCGACGAAGTTTGAAGATTCAAATCCTCAAAAAAGATTTTTTTATTTCCGTCTGTTTTTCTTTTTTTTAACTTATTGCCCTGAAAAAGGAGACGCTCTCTGATCTCGATGTTCTTCTATATAAAGAAAATAAAGGGCGTTCTGGTTCTGATTCTGGTTCTGGTTCTGGTTCTGGTTCTGACTCCAGACCCACAGACTTCGTACCGTGCTGTGAGCGGTAGTTGCTGGCGGTGGGCGGAGTCTGGTCCTTGTAGAGTCCCAGCAGGGACAGAAGGGGGAGGATCGTCTCGGCGTGACCCACCAGGATGGAGGCGGGCTCAGGAACGGCGTCCGTGGACCTGCAGGAAGTGACATCGTTAGTTCAGTTTCCAGTTCTGTCCTTTCAAATTAAGAGCGAGGAACTGAATTTGGGTTTTTGATTGTTTTTATGAGTAAATGAAAACAGCTGATCAAACAGCTGATCCCTCGTCAGGTGACTCCTCCCCCTCTTAAAGGAGACCGTCACTCACCTGCGAGGACGCCCGGCTTTGTCCAGCGTCCTGAAGATGTGATGGAAGAGAGGACAGCTGGACAGACTGCTGATCACATGACCATGAGAGCGTTTCCAGTACTGCTTCAGGTCCGACTTATACTCCAACACCTGCAGACAGAGTTCAGGGAGAACTTCACACACCTGAGGAGAACCAGGGGGACCAGGAGAACAGGGAGAACAAGGAGACCCTGACCCGGGTCTGCTGGGTTCATTAGGGTCAGGGTTCGATGATGTCACCCTCCCAGGTAAAGGTGGGTTCAGAGCTGGATGCTGATTGGACTTCTTTGTTCCCTCTCTCCTTGTTCCCTTTTCTTCTTGCTCTATATCCTTGTTCCCTCTCTCCTCACTCTCTCTCCTTGTTCCCTCTGTCCTTAAACCACTTTGAGTCCTTAAACTCCCTTTAAAATCACCTATACTATCTTTAATGTGTGTGTGTGTGTATGTGTGTGTGTGTGTGTGTGTGTGTGTGTGTGTGTGTGTGTACCTTTGCGTCGCTCTCATCAAACAGGAAGCACCACGGCGAGTGGACAGACTTGATGGCGAGCTCGTAGGAACACAAGAAGAACGCCGCTTCAACCAACTCTACAGGAGGCAGAGAGGGACAAACTTCAGTGTGAAACACTCACACACACCAGTCCTCAGTGTGTGTGAGTGTGTGTGTGTGTGTGTGTGTGTGTGTGTGTGTGTGTGCGTGTGTGTGTGTGCGTGTCTGACCCGGTGTGAGCCGTTGGTGAGGGAGGCCCAGTTTCTCGGCCATCCTCCTCCTCACTCGCTCCATCTCCTCGCCGTGTTTGAACTTCTCCACCTCCAGCAGCGCCGTCCGGTTGTTTTCCACGCCCTCCACGAAACCACGGCAACGCTCAAAGAAACGCATCAGCTCGTCATCGACCTCATGGCGGTACTGCACCTCTGCACAGACAGAGAGAGTGAGAGAGAGAGAGAGGGAGAGAGAGGGAGAGAGAGAGAGAGAGAGAGAGAGAGAGAGAGGAGAGAGAGAGAGAGAGAGACAGAGAGAGGGAGAGATTTGGACGAGTTTAAATTAAGACTAAACTTTATATTCAATGAAGACAAACTCTCTCCTTGTTCCCTCTCTTCTTGTTCCCTCTCTCCTTGTTCCCTCTCTTCTTGTTCCCTCTCTCCTTTTCTCTCTCTCGTTGTTCTCTTTCCTTGCTCTTTGTCCTTGTTCCCTCTCCCCTTGTTCTGTCTCCTCTTGTTCCCTATCTCCTCGTTTCCTCTCTCCTTGTTCCCTCTCTCCTTGTCCCCTCAGAGCATGATAGGAGACCTCCTCCTCCCAGGAGGGCTCTGATTGGCTGAGAGCTGTTTCTGGTTCTGATGTAGTTGTTGGACGTTAGAGGAGGAGGACCTGTTTGGACCTGTTTGGACCTGTTTGGACCTGTTTGGACCTGGTACTGGACTGAAACATGAGGTCCGGTTCACCTCTGTGGTTCCAGACCTCCTGCAGACCCTCCTGGAACGCCTCCACACTGCTGATACAGCGATGTTTGGAGCTGCTCCTCAGACTGATCCTCCTCTGGTTCTCCTCAGAGAGGAGCGACGGGAACAAGGCGAGGAGACGCTTCGCCAACCGACGGAGGTCCTCCCTACCCTTCATCACCAACTGACCTGAGGAGGAGGAGGAGAGAGAGAGAGGAGAGAGGAGAGATGAATAATCATTAAAGCTGTTTTTATTTCCTCTGATAATCAGACATAAAAGTCTGTAAAGTTTGTTGGAATTTAATAATTTTGATGAAACTGCCTCTAAAATAATTAAAAATAAACTATATTAAATATTATATTAAAATATAGTTTCATTAGAATTATGATTTAAAATATATTTTTACAATTATAATAATAGAAATAATTATTGTATTATTGTCATGATCATTTCAAATGTAGTTTTATTTTATTCTTGTTTTAAATTTGGCTTTATTGTAATTATTATCTTTTAAATACCGTTTTACAAAAATCCTTTTAAATAAAGTTTTAAATATAATCAATAATTAAAAAGTAACTGATTATTTTTGTATTGATCTCAACTTTAATTGTTTTAAACATCATTTTATCAGAATTATTTTAAATAGATTGATTATCATTATTATTATTATTAATATTATTGTTGTTGTTCTCAGAGTTCGGTTCGGTTCTGACCGTCCATCTCGTCCGTGTACCACATGTCCCAGCTGTTCTGGATCTCGTGAAGCCGGCCTGCCGAACCCCCGGACCCCGCGGAGGTTCTGGAGGACTCGGTCCGGACCAGTTGGCTCAGGTTCCGGATCCTGCGGATGTTCTTGGTGGTCGGGTACCGGGTTCCGTGCCGGATGACGGCGGTCAGGTGGACCGGGGTGCAGCGCTCCGAGGGCGGGGGTCTGAGGATGGAGCTGTTGATGGAGGTCGGGTCCCGCAGCAGGTTCGGGTGCACCTCCTCGTACCGGGATTTGGTTCCAAAGTAAACGGCGATATCCGGGACCGACACAGAAGTGCAGGAGAGGCGGGTCAGAACCAGAACCAGGCCGAGGCTGTTTCTGACGGAGAACATGACGGCGGGACCGGAGGAACAGACCGGAGAACCGAACCGGGTTTGACAGAACCAGCTTCACTCCTGCCGCCTTTGTTTGCTTTGTTGATGTTCCGGGTTCCTGAACTTTGACCTCACGGATGACGTCAACCTCAGTGGACAAACAAAAAATATCCAAGAGTTCAAATAAAGATTTAAAAAAAGACAAAAATAAAAAACATCGACAAAAACCACAATTAAAAAAATATTTAAACTTTTATTTTATCCGGTCTGTTAATCATATTTTATAAAAACTGAGTTTGTTTCATAACGTTCACTAAAACCTGCTGAACTACGACTTCCGTTCAGTCCTTTCCAAAATAAAAGCTGAAAGGCAAAGTCACTCCTATGAAAGTATAACTCATTCACTTTAGACAAATATTACAGCGGTTTTTTCTGCTCTCACTGGATCTTTTTCAGAAAATGTTATCAATATTTTTTTCCTTTTAAATAAAATAATTTTCTCAGAATTACAAAATAACTCTGTGTCAAAAACCGACGAACTTATTTTTCTAAATGAATAAAAAAAAGATTATCTTGGAAATCAGAGAAAAAAAAACGGAGCAGAATAATTCTTCTTTAATCAGAAACACTGAGACCTGCTCCTCTGGTTGATCGACTCGAGTTTCTTTAACTAACTCTTGAAGTGGTTCTGGTTCTGGTTCTGGAGTTTGATCATGTTAGAGTTTATCAGCAAGTACAGGATCAGTGTCTTTTATCATCGTGGTGTCCCAGTTTAGACGCTCATGTTTTCAGTTTCTGATCCCGAACTCTTGAAGCCTGTTGATCGATCCTTTCAGTCACTCAGCTGATCAGACATGTGGAATAATCCCTGTGAGTAAAACTCTGAGCTGAAGTTGTTTCTAACGACAAACAAAAATGTTCGGATCACTGTCGTCGTCGTCGTTTCGCTCTTTTTAAAAGTACAAACAGTTTTAGAGATGAGAGCTCTCGACACACTGAGACACATTAGTTCCGCCGTAAATCAGTTCCTGGATATAAACATAGAAAACTGCATCATCATCAAACATTGGAAGGACACCATCTCAGAGGGTCTTTAACAAACAAACTGAAGAGCAGAGGACCCAAAACTGACCTCTGTGGAACCACAAGAAAGGAATCAGTGACACTGACTGCTAGTGAGATGGAACAATATGATAGATATACGATACGATACGATAACATATAATACGATATGATACCTTATGATACAATGCATGATATGATACGATATAAGATATGGTACAATACATCATGATATAATATGATATACAATATAATATGAGATATATGCTATGATATACTTTGTGATATGATACAATATACCATATGATATGATACAATACGGTATGATATACTATATGATATGATGCCATACGATATGATATGATACGATATGAACTATGAAGTATTATGATATGATATGATTGTTATTGGAGTTTGTTATGGACTGAGTTTTTTTCTTTTTGCTCGTTAAGCTGCAGACTCATAAAAACATGTTTCAAAGTGTTTAATTGAACTGAAGACACTAAACATTAAAAACATAAATGTCACTTTTTTTACACATTAATATGAATCTGTCAGAAAGTTTGGAACACCATGAAGCTTTACAACCAATTAAACCTCAATTAAATAATAGATAAAACTCCAATTTAAGAAACTAAACACAAACAGATGAATGAGAGCAGGTTCAATTATTCAGCTGAAGAAGAGAATTTATGAAACTTTGTTGTTGAAGTCTGAGCACTTTATTACAGCTGAGTTAAAAATCAGAGCTGACTCACTGTTTACTGTTTACAAGAGAGAGAGAGAGAGAGAGAGAGAGAGAGAGAGGCTTTCAATCAGAGCAGGAAATGAGAAAATCCAAAACAGACGAGAGGAGGAGAAAAAGGAGAGAGAGAGAGAGAGAGAGAGAGAGAGAGAGAGAGAGAGAGAGAGGGAGCAGCAGGGAGGGGGAAGGGTGGAGTTGTTTCAGGCATGTTTGGCCTCGTGTCTCTAAGGATGAAGACTGAACACCGAGCGACGAAACAACAAACAACTACCGACAACTAACCGATTAACCGATAAACGAGAGAGAGAGAGAGAGAGAGAGAGAGAGAGAGAGTCAGTGCGCGAGACCCTCTAACATCTGCAGCAGGAACTTCTGCAGCGCGTGCAGCAGGTGAGGACAACACACACCAACAAACACACGTATACACACACACATACACAAACACACTCCTTAAATATAAGTCGATAACCTTTCTTTGCTGTGATGATTAATCGGCCGATTATTTAAACCGGATTTAATGAAAACCAGATTCTTCATCCCTGAGTGATCAAATATGGAGGTCCAGATGATCAAAGACTGAGAGAAACTTTTAAAAACTTTAAGTTCTGAATGAAAAGTTTGAAAGAAACTCTTATTTTATTAAAACGTTCTTCAAAATCGCAGTTTTATGGACTTTATTGTGAAAATCGGATTAAATCAAAGAGAATCAGCTGTTCTCGGACTTTTGAGTTCAGACAAAGAAAACAAGAGTTACTGAATTTAAAAAAACTCATGTGGGTGTCAGAGAGTAACGATTAATTAATGTAAAAGAGTCAGAATTCAGATTTTCCACTAAAATCTGGACTTTATTCCTCGGTGAATATTTTCTCTTCTTCACGTTTCATAAAAGATTAAAAAATGAATCAGATTTTTTTTTACTCGAAATTCCGTTTTAAATGATAAAACTGAGTATTTTCTTTAAAGTCTAGATGATAGTCAAAATTTACGATTCTGAAGTAAAGATTCAGACTTTTTTATAGAAATTTGACTTTTTTAAAAGACTTCTGACTTTTTTAAAATTCATTTTAAAAAAATGTAAAAAATCAGACCTTTTTAGGATTTTGATGTTTTTCTCAATATTTTTGATGAATATAAAAAAATCTAAATTTCTGTCTCGATTTAAAGTTAAAGAAAAATTCTGAGTTTTAAATTTGCATTCTCACTTTTTTCAAATGATTTTTTTCTGAATTTTGTTAATTAAAGTCAAAACTCTGATTTTTTTTTTTTTTTGTTGATTAAAGTGGAAACTTCAGAGAAAAAAATCAAAGTTCTTATAAAAACCATCAGAATTTGTTGTTAAAGTTTGAGGCTTTAAAACTTTGTCCTTTCCTGACTCTGGTTCCTCTCCTTGGGGGTTTTTCAGGGACTTTAAGGTCCATGTGGAGACCTAAACCCTGTCTCTGCTGCAGAAGTTCTTGGACTGAATTATTCGGACTTTTCTCTCTTCATATTATCGTAGAAATGTTTCCACATAGATCTGCTCTGTAGACCAGATCCCTGAGAAGACTTCTCAAATATCTGAGTGGGTGAGCCACAAGAGGGCGCCACGTCTTCAGATTTCCTGAATGATGCAACTTTGTGAAGCCTAATGTGACTTTTTTCAGAGACAGATTCACTTTCAGAGCTCGGCGCTAAAATCTATTTGTGGATCTTCAGCGATGAACGTCTGACCGTAACAGATCTGTGTGAGAGTTCACCAGACGGTTCAGTCCACAGACCTCCAGAAGTGGGTCAAATATGTGGGAGAACACCTGAGACCGACCTCACACACCTGTGAAGGGGCTGAACCGGTTTTTCTGTCACCAAAGACCTGAGAACCTGCAGGAACCTGCAGGAACCTGGAACACCTGAAACTCCTCCTCATGACCCGTCTGACCCAGTTTGACCCTGATCCTGGTTCTGTTTGACCCTGATCCTGGTTCTGTTTGACCCTGATCCTGGTTCTGTTTTACCCTGATCCTGGCTCTGTTTGACCCTGATCCTGATCCTGGTTCTGTTTGACCCTGATCCTGGTTCTGTTTGACCCCGATCCTGGTTCTGTTTGACCCTGATCCTGACCCTGACGTTTACTGAAGTCGTGACGACTGACGTATTTACCGGAGTGACAGACAGGTTGCCAGATTGGGTGACTTTCCTCTAAATGTTACGGCCTGTTTACGGCGTGTTTTAGCCGGGGTTTCACCTGGAAGACTCTGGACATCTGACACACGTGTGAACGGGGTTTAGAACGCCGCTCACAGACGCCAGAATGAGCGCGTTCAACACCAACGCGTTCATACGTCATTAAAGAACGATACATTCATGTTCGCCTGAATCATGAACGATCTTTTTTTGAACGATCGTTCGGGAACAACTCTGACCTCAGGGCATCAATGGTCACATGCAGGTCTTGGCCCCTGGTTCTGGTCCCGGACTACCTGACCCCAGTGCTCTTTGAAAAACCAGAACCAGAACCTTTGCTGTGGTGTTTAAAGCTTTGTTCTGGTTCTGGTCCCGGCAGTAGTGTTTGTGTCGTTCATGAACGATTTGTTCAAAAGAACTGCTGACATGAACTGAATCACTCTGAGACCTGAACGGTTCCTCTCTCAGTTCCCGGCGTGTCGGTCAGGAGTGGAACTGACGCCGAACGACTCACAGCCAGCCAGCGGGTGGGCGGAGTCTCGTGATTCACTCACAGCGAATGAACGACATGAATCAGTCAGACTGTGAACGAAACGAACGACTTTGAACGACTTCAGGCGGAGGAGGGAGGGGTTTAGCGTGGTTCACTTCCTGCTGAGCAGCGGTTGGTTGACTGAGATAAATCAGGTCATTATGGCGCCTTTACATTAAAACACGTGTTTAAACTTTCCTGATTTAATTTCAGACGATTTAAAGAAATACGATATTTGATTCTTTAAAAGTCTCTGAATCCTCGCTACAGCTGACATCTTTATTTTTAATCTCGCCACTTTTCTGACATATAAAAGAACGACGACTCGCGCTCGTTTAGCGGCGTGCTGCTCGGAGACACACAGAGAGGTGAGTTTTTCAGGGCGGGGGGGTGATTCTTCCTTCAGGACTCGGCGAATGAACGACACGAGTCATCCAATGAACGAATCTTTGAACGAATCGTTTGAATGATTCTGAAGGTTCAGTCAAAAGAACGGTTCTTCCATCAGTCCCCTCTCCGGTCCCCTCTCCGGGTTTTTGTGACCCTGTCAGTCTCTGCGGTTATAAATAACCGGGCTGGGACCTGCGGGGCGGCTGTAAATCCCGCCCCGTTCGACCTGTTCGTCTGGAGTGTTTATTCTCTGACACCTGACACCTGACTCAGTCCTCGATGGCCCCGCCTGGTCCCGGCCCCGGGGGTGGGGGGTGGGTGCAGACTGTGTGTTGTTGATGCTTCAGAGAGGGAGCGCTCGGTGGAGGTTTG